GCCACTGTCTTGGCGCGTTTCATTTCGGCGAGGCCATGATTCACCGAGGCATCGACACGATCGAGTTCGTGCTGAACATGGTGTCCAACACGGCGTCGTACCTGCGTCTCTGGGCACTTTCGCTTGCGCACTCAGGTACAATGCTAACATGCACGACCGAGTTCATTGTGACGGCTTGTAGAGCTATCGACTGTCTTCTTCGAGAAGGCGATGCTCTCGACCATCAACATGGACTCGTTTGTTGCGATCTTCATCGGCTTTGCGATCTTTGCCGGCACGACGTTTGGCGTCATTCTCTGCATGGACGTGCTCGAGTGCTTCCTTCACGCGCTGCGTCTCCACTGGGTCGAGTTCCAAGGCAAGTTCTACAAGGCCGATGGCATCGCTTTCAACCCCCTGCGCCTCAAAGACTTGCGTAGCTCAATGGATAGCTAAGATCTCGCTGTAGTAATTGTGTCAACTTTACACCCGAACTATGTGGATTTTATTCTGCGTTCGCGCTGCAGGAAAAGTCTATGTGCTCGTGTTGCGAAGTAGCTCATCATAATATGACTGACCGCCAGTTGCTCGTACCGTAGAGCTGCCTGATTAAGCTACTACGCCTCACGAAGCACAGATTGCGCTTCAATACAATGTTTTTATGCGCTTACTGTTAGCAAACCGGTTCAGGTCCGCTGCGCGTTAGCTTGGAAATTAGGGTGAGCCCTGTGGCCACCGTTTTTGGCTTTCTATCGCAGAGGCTTTCCTTTGTGGTAGTGCTGGAAGCAGCTTGGTATACATCATCGGCCGCCTGTAGCTCATAATATGGAGCAGCCTCAGTGCATTTGTTGCAGCAAGCATGCTTTACAAACAAAAATTTGATGCGCTCGGCGAATTCGCAGTAATGTAGCTGCGATGGCTGACGCATGCGCTGCGCAATTCGTCTTTCTACACAGTGATGGCAAATACTAATGCACATAGCGCGGAAACGTTGTGCGATGAGCTCAAATTGATATCTCAAGATGCTCACTCTGGAACCTCCAGTTTTAGTGATTAGAGCCAACATTCCTCCTACGCCTTAACCCGTGGCGTAATCTGTCATAGCTTGTTCGATGGCAGAAAGCGTTTCGGCACCGTAGCGCACTATAGGCGCAGGGCGACGACCTTTCCAACTGGAGCTAGTCTCTTGGATCTGGGCCTCGACGTCCGGCGCAACTGTCTGCTTATGAGCCACATACCACACCAGCATTGAGCAGACAACGGCGCCATTCGTCATCCGATGCAAGTAGGTCGAGGGCCTGACACGCTTCATTGAATGTAGCGTGAACGACACCGTGGACGGTACGCAGATCTTCGTACGACGTACGACCGCGCCAATGACACAAGAGCATTCGTATGAAATATAGCCCGCCTTCCATTGCGTGCGGACCAAAAGTTTTGTGCGTTCCGTGCGGTTGAGAACCGCAATCTCATCCAAAATGGTTATGTTTCGCCCGTCCCGCCAATCATCGACGCTTCACGCAGAGCAAAGTAGGCAATATACGCATTGGGACTGCCGTGCTCGTGCAAAATCTCGCAATCATGCTTGTAGAGATTGGCGTGCAGCAGGCTTTAGAGCAACGGAAGTGTTAGAGCATCTTCAACGCGCCACAGCTATAGCTAACCGCGTTATAACCACCCTTTCTCATATTTTAGCGGTGTGCTAAACGATGTGCTCCAATGGGAGTTGCAGCTATAGCTATCGCTATCGCTGTGGATTGGCTGACAAGGCGCACCAGGCCGCCAAGGGTGGGAGTGAACAACGCAGCCCGCGGAAGAGAACGCTTGGCGCTTAAACGAGAGAAGGGCAGGCCGCTCGGAGGGGCGTGGATGGAAGAGTGCGGGCTGGAAGCGCAGGCAGGAGAAGCGCGAGCGCTGGGAGGGACGAGGAGTGCTGGCACCGACGATGGACGACGACCTCCACCTACGTATACATGTATGTGCAGCGCTAGGCCTGGAGTGTCGGCAAGCAGCGTCCAAGCAACGCGCGACCACGCCGGATCGAGGCCTGGGTGTTACGTATCGACGACCGACGATGGGTTCACATGGGCGAGCGCCCGTGCAAGTCGCCTGTTCTCGTCCTCGGACCTCCTCTGCCCAGCGCGCGCGCCCACGTCCCATGTGTTCGTCCTCCCTCGCAAATGCCACGGAGCGTTTCGATTGGCTGTTACGTTTTCTGCCTCGTCTACGCTCTATATCGGCAGCATAACTTCACCGCTATAGAGGCCTCCTATAGCGGCAGATCTCGAGTTTTCGGCGTTAGCTATAAATATAGCGGTGCGTTGGACCACTTTTTCACCGCTATAGCACCATGTGACATGCAATAACAAGCGTGACAGTTATAGATAAGCTATAGCGGCGCCGCGTTGGAGATGCTCTTAGGTTAGTACGATCATTTGGTCGAGGCACACGCGTCCCGAGCATGAGCAGCGCCCTCTCTTTGATCTGCTGCGCTGTCGATGATGCAAATTTTGTTCTGCACTAGGCTTAGCCCAGTGGTCCTAAAGCCACGCATTTGGCGGTGATGTAGTCGGTGAATAGGCCATCGTGCAGCTACGCTAGTATATATTCTCGTATATTATGGTAGCGTAGTGACCGGTATTGCATGATAGGTATCGTCAAGGACCTCTCCATAGACGATGATATTGGTGTATGTGCTGCCGTCCACACTGAACTTGGGGTTGAGAGCCAAGATTTCGATGTTGGCACGCGTACAGGCAGCTTGCCCGTGCGCGGTACTGGTTCTGGTAGGTGGACGCCAACTCGAGGTACCGTCTGAGACTCTGACAGTCAGACCCTGCGACTTGTTGATGGTCATCGCGAATGCAAGACACACTACGAACTGTAGACGCGTGAGTTGGAACGGCATCGTGTTGTGCAGACCGTCGTTGATGAGCGAGATTCGAGGTATGAAAACGACGTCGCCGGCTTGCGCGCCAGGCAAAAATGTGGTCACGCAATGCGTGGACCATGAGTCGCGTTCTGTTTCAAAAACCGCGACGTGGGCGCAGGTTACGGAGCAGCATGACAGTGACGTTGACCTGGAGCTCGAGACCGTGTGGAGGAAAGCCAGCGATGTTGATGGGGTTCAGGAACTCAACTGGGTAGTTGATAGCGGTGTCTTCTTGTAGCCGATCGTTGTCGTCGTTTGCTGTTGTAGATTGCACCTCGTCTTCAAAAGCTTCGACACTGGTGGCAGACGTGTAAACGCGGTGGTCAGATATCTGAGCTACCGCCAAGTACCATGGCGTTGACCGAAGCGAGGTCGTCGTTCTCTGGTGCCAGAATATCATGCTGAGCATTGTAAGGTGGTTGTTGAAATGGGTCCTCGTTTTTATGGTTTATGGGTCCTTTTACTAGGGTCGTCCTTCCGCCAACCTTTTTCCGGTAGGCACGTGTTCCGGACCTGTTCATTGGGCTATGTAAATGCATCTGGTCTTCAATTTGCAAGTATTACGTAAGTGCATGCACTCACTTAATGCTTGCTAACTGGAAAACTGGTACGTACCAACGCAGGTTGTCGACAAAACTCTGAGTGCAAAGCAGCTCCGCTAATATGTCGAATTATTTTACACCATCGGTGCTCGATACATCTCTTCTATATAGTAAAATGTATAAAAGTGAAACGTGTAAACGTTTTTTGCCCCTTCTTTAACGGACCAAGATCGGCCTGCTTTAAGAAGTGCGCCTTACCAGTTGCCTGCGATCTTGCGATCAATGCGTGCCACTATTCCTGGTACGACAGGCAATCTTGCGCGTAGTACCCTTGCGTGCGGCTCATTATTGTCGCTATAAAGCAATCTCCAGAGGTCTTTTTGGTGTGCTACATTCCGGACAATTTTAAATACGCGGTCGTCAATATGAAAGAGTGAAATCAATATTGCCACAGTTCGAAACCAAGAGTCTTCTTGCCACTCTGGATAAAAAGAGAAAATGCGTCACCCCACCGGATATAGGTCTTACACTATGTTATTACAATTCTCAAGTGTCTACCCTAATCTGTAGTGTATCATGCGTGAGAGGTCGCAATATACATTTTAAGAGGTCTATTTACAGGTTAAGCTTGCGGTACATAGTCTGCAATCTAGCGCTTAAAGCCTATGCACGCGTCAGCTTTGGCATCGTATATGCTAGAGGCCAGTGGAGAGAGTTACCACTTCCCGCCTCTTATATTTCTGCATGACTGCATGACACTGACTACGCGACTACGCTTATGGACAAGAACGGTATTTGAAGAGATGTACTACATTTTTTTCAGCAGGTGCAGCAAGCGCTGCAACTCTACAGCCACTAACATCTTTCCAGGGTGGATAGCTCTTAGAAAGAAGTAGCAAGGTAGTACTTGCAAAATGGTTACACTGTCAGGCAGATGCTGCGTTGTCTGTGGCTACAAAGTTTTGCTAACGCTATTGCGTCTGGCGCGAAGACGGATTACAGAGGTGACTAAGACTACTCATTTCAATTTTTAGTTGCTAAGTCTCGTCAGTTTTTGCTCCTATTGTTATATAAGCAGAAATTCTATCGCTCACGAATGCTAAACATGAAGAATTGTGTTTTGCTCTTCTTCGATGTAGTAAATAGAATGCTATGTGCAAAGTACATTTCTCCATTTTCTGTTTGTATCCAAAAGTGTAGTCAGTCACGTGCAGCCATGCAGAAGTACAAAAGATGCAATCTCCTATTGCACGCAGTGCGGAATGCATTGGTCTGTGTAATGAACCAGTTGGCGCAGTCGTGCAGGCCTCATAGGGATGACAGGGGCAGTTTTCCCACCGAGGTGGATATCTGGACATTGCCGCATAAATTATCCCAAATCGGTATTGTGAAAGCAAATATAATGACACCCGATTCAGGTTTTACTGGGCTACAAGGCGTCACCTGGCGCAGAGCGGCAAGACGAGCGGAGCGAGTCCACTTTTTGCGCGAAGCGCGTGCCGAGCAGTGGCAGAGACGAGCGCAGCGAGTATGTGTTTGTAGGGCGTATATGTATGGCGCTGATGGGCGTAGCAAGCTAGCTTTTCGTAGGCTTGGCGGCCTCACCATTGGTAGGTAACTATGCCAATGACTCATCGCGCCCCGAAGCGCAAAGCGCGTGCTGAACTGTGACAGTTCTGGAGGGGCAATTGAAGTAAGGACTGCGTTGAGCGTTGGTTTGCTAAGTGTACTGGCTGGCGCAATGGCGGGACGCTGTGGACGACGGTTTCTTACCGTTCTTGGTAACTGGACGGGGTCGTATAAGGGTATCGGTAACCGGCTCCATATGGCCAACCGTGTGCAAAAAATGGGTGTGATTTGTCACTATGTGGATCTGGGATGCTTTAATTGGGCGATGGATGGTAACCGACTGACTGGCTGAGCAAAGAACTTCAACTTTCTAGCGCCATGGCGGCTCATTTTGGAATTTGCCTCCCCCTGCGCCAAACTAGATGTACGCAGAAAGCCTCGTACAATAGGAGCAACTGATCGCTGTTTCGTGTTGCCGTTTTATCATTTTATGTAACTTGCATGTATATCAGTTGTATCTGCCCGCAGTTGGGTTTACTGATGAGTGGTGTGCGTCGTGCACACTGCTATTGGTTCACAGTCTTCGAATGTACCCTGTCAGTCGTTGTTTTTGTTTGTTTCGTGCGAAGACACCATCGCATTACTTTTACTTCCTCGCAGTGTCCACTGTTGCATAGCTGTCTTCTACTGCACCCTTCTTTTTCCACGGCTCACGACATCTACGCAACGCACTGCGGCAAAATCGTCGTACAGCATCACCTTTTGCATGCCTCTGGACTTTGCCTTAACATAGGTATGCATGCGACCTTGGACGAATCAAAAGCGCATCGCATTGCCTACATCGGACATTTTTGAACACGATGGACCCAAATACGATTTGCGGTGAGCAATTCTTGACACGCTACTTATCGAAGGGAGCAACCAGCACGACTAAGCTGTTTAAGATCACTCTCCATTAACTCCTCGCCACCCGGGTTTGCGCTGGACGCGAAGGAGTTAGCAAAACTCAGAACAAACAGAAAGACCTTCTACCTGACACTACAGCGTCGTACCAAGTACGAGCATACTATCAGGCAACTATACTATCAGGCAACTACTCCACCCAAAGAAGATCGCGCCCATGATAAAGTGTGGCCGTAGGGCCACAGGGCTCACCCTAGTAGTGGTAAACATCGCTTACCTGCTGCGCGCTGCCTGTTAGAGCGAATGCAGTATCGAAAGGTGCGATATAGAGAAAGCGATGCAGTAGAGAATGCAACGGAATCTACATGCCTTCACTAGGATTACACCATGCTTTTGCCGCGAGGTCGTATAACTTGCAGTACATAATTATAAATAGAACACAGCGATATTCTGCAAGGAAACGTCGCGGCATGGGCGGTGGATGACACTAACACGCGAACATGAATTCGTAAAACAATACGGATAAGGAGGCGACGCCAAACAGATGAGATGCTATGTAGTAACAGCAATATTGCTTGATCCAAATAAACCTAAATAGCTGTCACATATCTGGCATATTCCGGGTGTCTAAGATGAACGGCGTCCAGAAATCGTGCCCACCGCGTGCGCGCACTCGCTTCGCGCCCTTGTCGGCTTCTCCTGTGGTCGGTCCGCGCCGGGTGCCTCAGAAGCGGGTGCACCTAGATGTTTTTGCTCGAAGCAATACGAGATCCTTCCATCGTCATCAACAATCCCGCCTATACCAAATATCATTCTACATTTGCTCGTGGTCTTGTACAATTACTCGTTGTGTAGTCAAAAGCAAAGACACCACACCATTAAATATATGCAGAATCACGAGCAAACCTATGAAGACCACAAAAATATAGTTATCACGTTGAAGTCGAACTTTCGTCAGCGGTGTAAAATCCTTTCATACTGGTTAGAACCTGCTGGTTTCACCAGTTCGCGGGGGATCTGTCCGTATCCGTGTCCGCGGCTACAATGATTGGTAGCGAATCGAAAGATACTTTCATCACGGGTGTCGCTGAGCTACTTTCCCATTGGTCAAAATTGCCTCAAACAATCGATATGTCCTACTCTTGTACCATCTTGGCGCCATGTCGCTCGAGCTCTGTCGTGTTGCGCTCTGTGGCGTTAAGCTGATGCTGTCTGTGCCACCATCTCCAAAAGGCATGCACGCAACACAGGCAAGCCAGACATCAGAAGAGAAGGCTGCGCGGCTCTAAAAGCAGCGCCAGGGCAAAGCCAAGGCACGAGACGCTCAGAAGGCGAGTGACACGCCGACACAGAAGGCTGAGCGGCTCGCGGGTACATTATCTGTCTGTGTACAGCGGCGTTGTCTCCTCGTCCCACTTGATGTGCGTGCCTCGCCATCCGCTTGGCTACTGTCCTACGATCTGCCTGTGTTTCTTGACTACAGTAGTATAACCCTCGCACCGTCGTCACAGCTACACTTGCCAACTCAACTTTAATCAACCAATGCCGTCACAGCAAGTCCTGGGAAGGTAACCGATCGATAATTTCGAATTCAACAATTAATACCTAGTTGCCCTGTATGGCCAATTGCTGCCCTGCAACTCACAACCTTTACATAACACAATGAGCGACCCGGAAGACACACGCTCCAGGGACTCTTTCTGCTTCACCATCCCTCACAAAGAGGTTTAATACCAGCCCACTTCGCAGGAACCTAGTTGGACAAGAGAAAAAACTGGCTCGGCCAAGCTTTTTGATATTGCACGTAGTACTCTTTGGCCATTTATGCCACTACAGTTTTAGAGCTGGTCAAAAGCAAAGGCGCGTGCACATTAGAACCTACTTGCCTGGCATTACAACGTCATCGCAAGTACTAGCTTGAAATTAGCGTGCTATCCACCCTGAAACGAGTGTGGACATAGGGCCACAGACCCGAGTTATTTATGTACTCTAGCTCGAGGTCACGCTTAGCTGAAGGACTACTTACCCGTTTGCTATGCGCAACAACTCTCTGTCCAGATCGAAACACGCTGCGTTCTTCGTGATGCATACGTGTTGCAGCGATTTTAATAAGGCTTCTGTACAGTACTAGTAACAGCGATTGCGATCGAAGCTCACTTCTTTCTTCGTGAGGTATATTCACTAAGGTTGCTCAACAGTATCAGCGACTGGCGGCAGCATCAAGCTGTTCCGCTACACAAGCACAAAGACTCACCTATAAAACTCCTCTTGGCAATGCAAAATGGAAATGTGGCCGAGGGGAACTTTGCTCATGCTGGTTGATAGAGTAAATGAGTTACTCGAACAACACATAAGTTTTCTGTCATGCCTAGCAAGTCATAGATTAAGCATGGTAGAATGTATTATTTGTGTCAGGCGTCTCTCGCGTAGCGTATCCTGCCGGTCTCCTTGATCTGACGAGTTCAACGCTCTCGACGCTCGATGGCCCAGTGCTCCCTTCCGTCATGAGTTTTTGCTGAACGCGACGTGGGCCGCTCAAGGCGGTACGTTCTGGCTCGCGTACCACGCCAAGACGACGCAGAAGGTCTTTTTGGCCGTGGTTTACGGTGTTACGCAACCCGGTGCGTACATGGGATACCGTGTGCAGCTCGACGAGTACCTCCCTCGAGTACGCGCAAAAGACCCTATCTCGCGCGCCGACAGATGCCATCAAGGTCCGAGAGCGCTTCCTCGCAACGCTCGTGCGGCCCGCAATTGCCTCCAGCCACGCACGCGTCCGTGCCGGCACCGCACCCACGTGCGTCTTCGACTCGCTTGTGGCTCAATACAAGATTTCGAACGACGACCTGGCAAGCGAAGCCTTTCAGGGGATGGCGATGGGCGTTCCGGTACTCGAAGGTCTCGTCGTGCACACGATCACGGCCATGGTCCGCGTCGACGGCGTCCGCGGCCAGCTCGGGTCAGCGCGCGACGCGTACGTGTCCACATATCCAAACGGAGCGCACTGGCAGCACCTCGACGACCTCGCCGTCGTTAATGCGTACGTGAGCGAAGTGCAGCGCGTCTACAACGCGAGGGCACGTCACACGTTTGCCCGCGCGACCATGGACTTTGTTGTGGCCAACAGCAGCAGCGTCCCCAAGCACCGTCTCACGGTGGCACTTGGCGAGTGCTTGAACTACAACGCGGCCGTCACCGGCGCTCTTTCACGTGGCGCGTTTCGCGGTCGCCACCCCGTCGGCGTACGAGTTTCCGCCGTTTATGCTGAACGATCTTGTCGACCGACGGGCGGGGCGAAAAGTAGGTCTCTCGTGCCACATTTTGCAGACGCTCGTGGTGTCGCCGCTCGACTTTGCTGTGGTCATTGCGTCGCTACAATCGTATACGCTCGACGACGGAGTGAACCCGCTGCCGCTGGACTTGCTCACGACCGTCGGCTTCCATTACGCACCAGGTGTGGTGCACAGCGGCAACATGGATGACGATGCGTGGCGTCGGCTGCGACAGCCAAGCGCCAAGCTCTACAACAACTCGATCGAGAGCCCCTTATCGTCTGATAAGCGCCTCGACTTTCTAACGCACTCGATGATCCAGCTGCTTTACGTACGCTTTGCGACGTGGGTGACACAATCGGCCGCGGAACCCATCACGGTGCCAAAGTCGCAGAAACCGCTCGCCAAGCAAACGCTGCACGGCACGCCGATCTAGATTCCTGTCGACGACGAAGACGTATCGATTCCCAAGGTGCTCCTCGATGGCGCCAAGCCTTTTCAAGACACGGTGCCGTTTGTCGACAACTTTGACGACTCGTGCGAGGACATGAAGGGCTCTGTCCTGAGCGAGGTCGGACGCATGTGGCCGCGCGTTCGCGTGCACGGGGACGACCGGTACTTGGACCGCGCGCTCGAGCTCTTCGTCTTTAACGGCCTCGGACAGCACATGGTAACAAAGCTACCCGCCGCGCACAACGATGGGTCGTACTACACAGTCACGACCAGTTTTCTTGAGACGGTCACCGGCGCCGACGCCTATTTTGACAAAAAGGGCAAAGTCATCAAGATCGTCCGTCTTGGCAAGACGTTTTGGCCGGCCGATGTGCAGTGGGAGTACGTAAAAATGTGCTTTCGCTCGAGCGTTGCCAACAAGGTCACGGCTGTCGATCACCTTATTGGCCTCCACGTGACGACGGCGTCCCGCGAACAACTGCCTCCGACGCACCCACTCCGCCGCCTGATCAAGCCCTTTACGTTCCGTGCCGAGGCCATCAACTACGAAGCGTCCAAGCTCCTCTTTGCACCGAAGGGCATTTTGCACCGCGCGCACCCGTACTCGGAAAATGCTTGAAGGATACCTTGGCGGCATCGCCGAGTACGTCTCGGATCCGGCTTTCTGCCCGGTATCGTGGGTTGAGGGTGAGCTCGCAGGACGACCTGGTACTGCTGTGCGAACGGCCCTCATCATGTCGGGCACGGGGTACCCGCAGCCCAGCCTTTTGGAGGACTTTTTCCACGTGCTTTCGGATGACGCTGCCAAGGCCGTCGTCCACCGTTTCACAGCGTCGCTACAGTCGTTTGTGAAGGTTGTTGACATGCGCAATGCCCAGCGTATGCTTCCGCACCAAGGTTTCAACCCCGCAGTCATGGACATGGCCATCGGCATTTAGTTATTCTTCAATACTCGTGTTCCAACAGAACAGGGTCCGGTCTAAAACATTCATACTACGTGTACTGAATTGGGCCTTTTAGATACCGACAGCCATCTCCATTGTGCTCGGATTGAACGACTGGAACGACTGGACACGGGTGGCATTTCGCCGGTTGACGACGGGAATCTGCGCCTTGACATCGGTCGTGAATGCTCGAGCGACACACTTGGCGGCGTCGTCCAACATCACATGTGAAAAATCTTCCGTGATCTGCGGCTGGTCAAACCCGGTGATGATCATGATGAGCGCAAGACGAACAGACGTTCCGGGGCGCCCCGCGAGCTCGCCTTCGACCCACGCAGACGGGCAGAACGCCGGATCCGAGACGTACTCCGCGATGGCGCCAACATGGTTGTGCATCGACGAGACCATGAAGATAAAGTACGTCACAAACTCATGCAAACTCTTGAGCGAGAGCGGCGGCAATGCAAACGGCAACGTCGCGTCCAGCATCGTCCAGAAGGCAACCACCGACGCGTCCGCAGTCACCTCGGCATCTGCCGCGTAGTAGAGGTCCAGGTAGCTCGAGACGAACCGAGAAACAATGTGCCAGTAGTCGATACCGTCCTCATGCAGTGGCAGCGTCGTCGTGTCGATTTGCTGGCGCTCAACCAACGCGGGAAACGTCTCGTATCCAAAGCTGCCGAGCCCGATGTCCCATGCCTGCTTCATGCCTCTGGTGGTAAGCGCAATCGCGCGCTGGAGCATGCCTTGTGGCCAGAAGAGTGCTCGCCCAGCACCGTAGTTGATGGCCGCCGACCGGAACGTGAACGGCTTGAGAAGACGTCGGAGTGGGTGCGTAGGCGGCAACTGCTCCCGGTGGACGACAGTGACGTGGTTGGCGATCGTCGAGTGTATGAGCAGCAAGTGGTCGATGGCCGTGACCTTGGTCTGGAGACTGCCGCGGAAGCACATCTTGACGTACTCCCACTCTGCGTCGTCCGGTCGGTACGTGATGTTGCCGCGGACGATCTTGGTGACCTTGCACTTGTCGTCAAAAAATACGTCGGCGCCGTACTTGGCATAGCCTTTGCGGACGTCCAGCGCCTGCATGAAGTTGGTTGCGATCGTGTAGTACGAGCCGTCACTGTGCGTTGTCGGCAGCTTCTGGAGCATGTGCTGCCCGAGGCCGTTGAACGCCATGAGCTCGAGTGCGCGGTCCGAGTACCTGTCGTTCCAGTGGACTTGAATGCGTGGCCAAATGTGGGCATAGAACCGCATAACGTAGCGCTCCTTGTCCTCGCCTGGGAGCCAGTTCTCGTCAAAGTTGTCGATGAACGGAGCGTAGTCGCGGATGGCGTTGGCGAACTTGATCTCGATCCACGGCTGGTTGGGCCAGTCTTCGTCGTCCAACGGCACTTGGATGTTCGTTTGCGCCAACGTCATCTTGTCGACGGGGCCCATTGTCGCGGGAATCGTTAGCGCCTTCGCTGCTTCCGGTCGCGTCCACCGCGACAGCTTGATGAGCACGAGCTTGTACATTTGGTGCGTCCAAAAGTCGAGGCGCGGGTCTCTCGTAAGCAACTGCTCGTTGGCAACGGCGATGAGAGCAGCGTACTCGTCAGTCGTCGGCAACCGCACTAAAGCTGAGGCATCCGGGATCGCAGAAACACCGACGCGACGCTCCATGTGGCTTGCGATTAGCTTGCCGACCGGCAGCGGCGAGGTCACTGACGCCTTGTCGAGTGACGTTTCTTGTCCGGGCGTCAAAAACCACGTGTAGTCGGCCACGGCCAGTAGCCACGACTCAAGTACCATCGTCGGCAGAGCGTCCGAGACACCGCCAAGCTGAAAGAGGTGGAGCGCGTTCTTGGTCGACTCGGCATCATCGAGGAACCGGTTCGGAATGAAATCTGCCGGTGCTGACCACGACGCAGCGTGCTTGTGCGTCGCGTCGATGCCGGCAACGACGACCGTGTGTTTTGGCACCGTGTACACGACGTCGTTGACGGCAAACGTAATGTCGGAGGTCGCCCGAGCGAATCGAAGACCGGATCCGACACGATAGAAGCGCTGGATCTCCTTGGCAAATGCACGACCAAACTTCCAGGCGCCAGGGGACTGTTGCTTGTGAGCGCGGGTGTCGGCTACGAGCTTTGCCCATACCGCCGGGTATGCGTGACTGGCCGAAATTGTATTCGCCAAGAGCGCCGCCAGCGGTCCAGCACCAGTGTATAAGGCGTGGAGGAGCTCGAGCAAAATGACATCGTCCGAGAGGTCGTTCTTGAGCACAAGGTTGTCGAGGACGCACGCCACTGGTGCCTTGGCGTCAACACGGCGTCGGCTTGCAAGGAGCGCTGGTTGCAGCAGCGTTGCCAGCAGTTGCTCCTTGGCCTGCAACGCGTCGTTGTGCGGTGCGACCGTCGACCGTGGCAGCGCTGCGACCATGGTATCAATCCAGTGCTGGACGTTTGCAAGCTCGAGCTGCGACGACGCCGTGACACCGAGAAGCAACGACAATAGGAGCTTCAAGACGAGGTGCTGGGCGAGCACGGTAAACGAGAACGTGCGACCAGCCGCGTGCGCCGCCGCGAGCTCGTCGCGAAACAGCCGCTGTACGACCGGCTCAAATTGGTGCCCTGGTGCAAAAGCCGACGCCAGGTTCGTCCATCGCGCCTTGTAGCTGGGCCCGTTGAGCGTCGCAAGCACGGGGCCGAGGAGGTGTGTCACGCCCGATGGCACGCTCCGCGCCAGCCGGCAAGCATCCATATGGTCTTCAAAGGCAGCCACCAGCGTGGGGCCAGCGACGCCCGCAATCTTGTCCGATGTCCATACGCTCTCGATGTAAAAGAGGTCACCGTACGTTGCGTGAAGGGCCTCAAAAGAGGCGACAGGCGCCGCTGCAAATGCGCGAAGCTTGGAAAGGCCACCAGACCACTCGGTCGACGGTGCGGGGCGGCGCTGGACCATGGCGACGGGCTGCGGTGTCGCACCAACGTGTTCTTCGATCGCGGCGAGGAGCAGTGGGCCGTACGCACCAGCGATGCTACGGTTCGAGAGAAGTTTGCGCAGGTCGGCCATGATGACGGGGTCCGTTGCAAGGTCGTGGAGCTTGGCGTCCGGGGGCGGTAGCGCCATGACTTTGGTGCGCCCGCTCGGTTGGTTGCCCATGGTTGTGGATGGCAGTGGGTAAATTGAAAAGTGATGAGCGAACTCCGAGCTCTTCGCGCCGTGCCACTTTCCTGCATTGTATTCGGCGTCGCGTTTGCAGAGCCAACGTACCATGTACTACATGGCAGTGGTGGTGCGTGCGTGCGGTGCGTAGAGAAGTACTACTGTCTTGCTTTGCATCCTGCGGTGGCTCCGATGGTGACGAAGCCGAGGTTGATCGGGCCCTTGGTGCACCACCCAAGTGCGAGTGATGTACCTTTTACACTTTAGTAAAACAAACATCCACTCCACTGCCACTGCATCGAATGCAGGTGGCGACGTCGGACACCAATTGTACTGCAGGTTGGAAGTATCATGGGTGTCGCCGCCCAGTGCCCTTCTACAATATATTCGCGGTGGCATCTCTAGCCGACGCGCCGCCAGCAGACAGGCGGTGCCGTAGTGGGAGGCAGACGGAATCACCGATCCAAGACTCATGTTCGACTTCCTTAGGTAGCACATCAATGCGCAAGGCTGTCGCCATTTACCAGGTGGCTCGATGCCGCTTTGTATTGTCGCGTGTTCGAATCTTGCAGTAGTTGGGTACCGGTAGTAGGAGCTGTTCTTGGTCCGACACTAATATCCCGTCAACTCCGCAGCCACTTCTATAACACAGCAAAGCCACTACCGGTACGACAACAACGCAGGCGCCACCGCCATCCATTGGCAACAAACCCGACAAACCGGGGCAATTCATGGATCGGGACCGTGGTATCTAGCCCGTTGCTCACACTACGTGCGTCCCACGATGGCAGCGCCTGAAATTTCCGTCGCTTCCTCAGTCAGACGAGTGGGCTAAGCAAATGCAGTGTACTACGGTAGTATCTTTTTGTTTGCTATAACACACACTGGCTTGCAGTGTACGGCGGAGGTCAAATCTGGATGGAAGAGAGATGTTGGATACAGTGGCCTTTACAGTGCGTTGGCAGCTCATGCTTGTCAGCATGTCGTTCGTCGAAAGCGTGTGCGTTGGCGAAACGACACGTTCGTTCGAGGCGCAGGTATGTAAGTTGCGCTAGAGAACTTGTAAACCGCGTGTATTACTCTCTCGGAAAGGTTTGGCTAACGTTACAAGCTACATGCTCACGGCCATCTCCATCGTCTTGGGGTTGAACGACTGGAACGGCTGGACGCGCGTGGCATTGCGAGCGTCGACCACTGCGATCTGCGCGGTGACTGCGGCCGTAAACGCTTGGCAGACGGCCTTGGCATCGTCGTCGAGCATGATGTGCGAAAAGTCTTCCGTGATTGCGGGCTGCGCGAAGCCCGTCGCCGTCATGATGAGCGCGAGACGGACACCCGTGCCGGGTCGACCAGCGAGCTCGCCTTCGACCCACGCCGAGGGACAAAAGGCCGGGTCCGAGACGTACTCGGCAATCGTGCCGAGGTGGTTGTGCATCGACGAGACAAGGAAAATGAAGTGGGCGACAAAGTCCTTGAGGTTCTCCAGGGTGAGCGTCCGCATTGGCACCGGCAGCTTCGTGCTCAAGAACGTCCAAAACGCATGGACATCCGTGTCGCTCTGAAGCGCGTCCTCGCTCTTGAAGTAGAGGTCGACGTAGTTGCTGACGAACGATCGGCAGATATGCCAGTAGTCCATACCGTCTTCGTGGAACGGCAGCGTCGCCGTGTCAATGTTCTGACGCGCAATTTGCTCCGGGAACGTCTCGTACTTGAAGTTGGCAAGACCGATGTCCCACGTCTGCTTCATGCCCTTGTCCGTGAGTGCGTAGGCACGCTGAAGCATGCCCTTGGGCCAAAAGAGCGCCCGACCCGCGCCGTAGTTGATCGCAATCGACCGAAACGTGAACGGCTTGATCAATCGGCGGAGCGGGTGCGTTGGCGGCAGTTGCTCGCGGTTGGCGATGACCATGATGTTGGCCACCGTCGCGTGCACGCCGAGGAGATGGTCGACGGCCGTGATTTTGGTCTGGAGACTGCCACGGAAGCACAGCTTGGCGTACGCCCAGCTGTCGTCACCTGGGCGCGCGGTGATGTCGCCGCGGACGATCTTGGTGACTTTGCCCTCGGCGTTGAAGTACGCATCCGCGCCGTACTTGGCGTACCCAGGGCGCACCTCGAGGCCCTTCATAAAGCCGAGACAAATACCGTAGTACGAGCCGTCGTCGTGTGCTTCCGGAAGCTTCATGAGGAGATGCTGGCCAAAGCCGTTGAAAGCCAAGAGCTCGAGCGCGCGGTCCGAGTACCGGTCGTTCCAGTGGACGTTGACGCGGGGCCACATGTGGCCGACCTTGCTCATGACGTAGCGCTCCATGTCCTCACCAGGCAGCCACGTGTGCTCAAAGTCATCGACCAACGGCGCGTAGTCACGGAGGAAGTTGGACTGCTGGATCTCGAGCCATGGTTGGTTGGGCCAGTCTTCGTCCTCGGTCGCGACTTGGATGTTGGTCTGGATGAGCGTCATCTTGGGGAGCTCTCTCTGGAACCGCGGGACCGTCAGCACCTCGTTGGCAGCCGGCTTGTTCCAGCGCGCTTGCTTCTTGGCGATCAACTTAATCATGAGGCGCGTCCAGAGGTCTAGGCGTGCGTCGTCCTCGTCGTCCGAGACCGTGCCTGCGATGCCCACTAGGGCCTTCGCTTCGGGTAAGTTGAGGAGGTGCCAGTCAGAGACGTCGCACTCCGTCTCGTCTGCCGAGTGGCGGTGCGTGAACGCACTCGCCATGAGAAGTCCCTTGGGCATCGGCGTCGACTTGCCTTCTTCCAAGCTCAAATCTTGGTTGGGCACCAAGGTCCACTTGAAGTCAAAGAGCGAAACGAGCGACGCCTGGAGCACGAGCGTTGCGAGGTCGCGGCCCGCGCACTTGCGGCCACCCGTCGTCTTGCCAATCGCATGCGGGCACAACTTGTACAAGTCTGTCGCCTCGTTGAAGCCATTGTCGAAGCGGTCTGGGTTGAAGACGCTCGGGTCAGTCCAGACGTCCGGGTGCCGGTTCGTCGCATCGAGGCCCGCTACCGCGAGCACGCCCTTGGGGATCGCAAACTCGCCATCGGGCGTCGTGAACGTCAGCTCTTGCGTCGTCCGGCCAAAGAGTTGCGCCGGACCTGCGTTGTAGAAGCGCTTGACTTCCAGGAGAAACCGGTTACAGTACCCAAGGTTGTCGAAATGGCGCCACCGATCTTCGTGGTACTTGGTGACGAACTTGGCGCGCGATGCGTGGACCTTCTCGGCGACGGTAGGATACTGGGCGAGCGCCGTGATCGTGTTGACGACGAGGCACTGGGTGCCACCGAGGCCGGCAAAGAGGGCGTGGAACGCTTCGAGGTGCACCACGTCCGGCGTCAGCTCCGTCTGGCCGAGCATGTAGTCGAGGAAGCACGGCACCGGCGTCTTTGCAGCCACGCGCGCCTGGCTCGCAGCGAGCGCGGGCGCCACAAGCTCGTCGAGAAGGCGCTGCTTGCAGACGAGGCCCTCAGCGTCCGCGCCTCTCGAGGATTTCGGGATCGCGCGGATGAAGCCGTCGAGGAGATCACGGAACGGGTCGTACGTGGCGTCGTACTCGGCCGGCGTCATGTCCGTGATGCCGTAGAGGATGGCGAGGAAGACCTTGAAGACGGTCTTCTTGCAGCTGAGCGCGAGCGAGATTTTGCCGCCGTGCGCCGCCCATGCCGCGTGCTCCTTTTGCACAATCCCAAACACGATGGGCGCATACGAGGCGAGCATGTCTTTGGAGAAGGCGCCCATGATAGCCTCCTTGCGGCTGTCGTGCACCTCGCCGTCGAGCGTCGCGAGGATCGGGCCGAGCAGCTCCACAATGCCCGCGGGCAGTGCGTTCTCACGCACAATGTGGCCGGCCGCAACGTGCGCATCGTACTGCGAGAGCATCTCGGGGCCACAAAAGCCCGCAATCTTCTCGCTCACGACTGCGCTCTCGATGAGGAAGAGGTTGCCCAGCGTGTCGCGCGACTCGGCCATGGCCGCCTTGGGGTCCTTGGCGAACGCAAGGAGCGAGAAGATGCTGTTGGCGCGCTTCGAGTCGGGTAGCGGCGCCGCGCCAGCTTCGGTGCTTGGTTGGTTGCCCATGGCTTGCGACGAAAATCAAATCTGTGCATCGAGTCGACATCGTTTATTTCGGGATCATGATGTGAAAAGTGGGGCTGTGTGTGGTTGCGGCGGGGGGACACGCATGCACTGTCTACGGTACGTAGCATACAAAACGATAGATATACGAGCCCACTCTTGCAAAGACAGGACAATTCTGAGAGGAGCGACGCCTGGATCTGCAAACAGAGTTTGAAACGATAGGGACATGCACGCCATCACCCATCGGATGATCGGCACTAACGCTTGTTGAAGTTGCCAGCAAAGTACCGGGTACTACGCTGCGAAGCGGACGAAGCGCCGATCCGACGTCCGATCCTGAAGACGCGCCTCGACATGTTGGAGGGCTATCGCAGTCGTGGGCCAACACGCGGCGGCGTCTGCGCTGCAAAGTCGTGGAACGCTCGAACACTGCATGGCCTACGGTACATGCATTTGCGTGGGATGACAAAGGAATGAAAACTAATGTCGCGCGTCCAGTGTTTTGTCAACATCCTAGCCACTGCTTCGTTGGCTAGGATCGCGCTCTCGGCCCTAATTTTCGTGTCACGTTCATAGTTGTTGCAGCGGGCGGTCAGGTCGCTGTTGCGTGCGTTGGAGGGGTGCGTGCGTTGTCGTGGCACGGATGCGTCGTGCTTCGAAGTACCGTAAAGGAACTTGGGGTGTCACGTGTATTGCGAAGATCGAATGCGCAGGTATGCATTGCATGCTACTGTTCGAACTCGTCAACACCATGTCCCACACGATCCCAGGAATGGCTTCTGTGGCATCTGCCGAAAAAAGCATATGCTCTAGTCGACATGCCGAAAATAACAAGTGGAAAAATCGAAGCGCGGTTCGAAAAACGAGATGCGGGGTATAAATAGCTGTCGGAATCTTTGCCGATCTTGGAAGAGTGGTTATTACGGGCCGGCAGCATTGGAGGCCAGGAGCATGGACGAGCCCTTCGAGTTCCATGAGCTCGACTACGAGTCCATGGCGCTCCTCTCGTCAACGTCCGTTGGCGGCGATGACGACGATGACGCGTGGCTACCTGACATGCGCCCGACACGCCGCCTCTCGCTCGAGTGGTTCTGTCCGCATGGCGACCCCACTGCAACGACGCCACCCTTGGACGAGATCAGCTTTGCATTTCGCTCTGTCCAGCACGAGACGACACCGATCGTTGTCACGCCAAAGAAGACGAAGCGACTCAAGGCGCCGAGTGCGTGGTTGAGCCCACTCCAGCCGAATGGATCCAAGACGAACGGCAAGATGATCGGGGCGTACACGTATGAAGCGCGGTACATTCGAGCTCCAATCGCACTAAACCCGCAGCGGATTTCACTCTGTTGCGTTCTCTAGGCAGGCTCGACTCGCCCGGTTCCAGGAGAAGCGTCGCACACGCGTGTGGCAAAAGCGTGTAAAATACGATTGTCGGCAGGCGCTTGCAGGCGCGCGGCCGCGCGTCAAAGGACGGTTTGTGAAAACAACCTTAGTTCTGCCCGACCATAACCTCCTCCTCTCCCACGAAGTCTTGGCGCCGGCGGAACTCGGTGACTAGACGCATGTGCATCTCTGTGCTAAATTACAATCGAGTGGACCCGTGTCCGGTGCCATAAGAGTAGGGCTAAGACGACAGGCACTCGTTCGCCTTGGCGTTGGCGACGAGGTCTTGCAGAAGCGATCGCGTCTGACGTTGGCTCGTGCGGCTGATGCACTCGACGCTAACAACGCGCGCCTGTGAAAAAACCGAGAGGTACAAATCCGCGTTCTCCGGCAGCCCCGAGCGTCGCAGCGCCGCCGTCTTGATACCTGGTAATATCGCGTCCACCGAAACGAGTGGCAGTGCTACCGAAATATATCAGTGTTGGTTGTCGAATGAGGTGCATACCAGTGGGCGACGACGCCCAGCGCGACGTGGCGAGAAACAACGTCGTTTCCAGTTGGTCGACGTACAACACGCGCTCCTGCGGCTTCTTGGAGCTGACGTCGTGCTGCAGAATGCCAATGCCTTGCTTCAAGAACCACGCGGACGCCGGGCGAGATGGAGGCCGAGCAATTGCGCTTGGAGCAACGTCCGTGCGGAGCAATTCGTGCATCTCTTGCTGGATGTCACTCCAATGATCCCAGATGAGAGTTGCGACAGAGCGGCCGTTGATCGCCACGGCTGTCCTCGCATCCTACGCCAGTGACGATCGAAGCATTAAAACAATGAGGAAGACGCACGTTGCAGCAAGTTGTAATGTCGCATTGCAATGCCGGTAGGGTCACAGACGCAAAGTCCGAAATGGAAAGCGTCGCAGCGCCCATCGAAACAGTCGTGTCGATCGACGGCGCCGAGGCGTGCTTGGGAGGCTCGACGGCCATGGGCGCCGGCGCCACCCAGAGACCGAACGGACCGTAAATGGGTGACGCCAACAACGCCACGAGGCGCGACAACATTGCGCTCCAGCGCATCGAGTCCAAGTAGAGACGCAAAGCGACCGGGAGACCCAGCGCGACCGCGACGTCCGGAACGGTCAGCTGCATCGTGAGCGTTCGAGCACCGACGTTGGTCGCATCGACGTACGAGAATCGCACGCTCGGCGTCGAGCTAAACGTCAGTGACGACGCGCCGCCGTAGAGCACATCTACTGTCTCGACGAAGCATTGCAGCGTTTGGCGACGAAGGTCCAGCTGTGTAATGTCTTGGAGGGTGACGTGCGCGCCGCAGCACTGCAGCTCTACATAGCTCCTTGATGAAGTGCCAAGTTGGGCCTAAACATCATTGCTCAGAGGACTCTAAAGATGAATATGAGCGAACATGGATGGCGATGGCGCCAACGTCGATCGAGATTGCGTCGATGGTGAAGGCCGGGGTGGCTCGTAGCGCAAATGGTGCACCTGAAATGGCTCTTCCTCCTTGTGGTACCTACAAAATTTAGTGAAGCAACGAAGCGCTGGTTGCTAGTACCACGATATCCACGTGTGACGAGGGTACAACGACGGGTACAGCTGCCGAAGCATCGCTTGCGACGTCGGAAATGGTGTCGACACCGCCCGAGACGGCACGAAGCTCGTGAGAACGTGGAGCTGGCCGCGGTTGCCATCAAGGACCACTGACGTGTTTGTCTCCATCGGCGTACCACTGGTGCACTCGAGAAGCGAGATGGATGCCGTCGCGAGACTTTGGTTTAGGTACTGGATAGGCCATCGGTCAAGCAGCTCTCTAGGTATCAAGGTAATTGAAATATCTCAAAACGTTGGTAGCTTGAGAGACGTACATGTAGAGCGCGTCTTCGTCGACGGACCCACGCAAGTGAAACTCGAACGTTTGTGCCAAAATGCAGTCGCACGTGGATTTTTGCGGCCGCCACAAAAACGGAAACCCGCAGGTGCGCGGCGACGTTGACGCGTGCACAGGCGGTCCCATGTACGCAACACCGCGGGCTCCCACCTACGCCATCATCCAGGTGACGCAAGAAAGTATGCCACACAAAGTACCTTGATGTTCGCGACGACAAATAACGATGACGCGGAGGATGGAAACCTGTCGAGCTCCATGGAGGCCCGCACGAGTGTGATGGTGAGGACACCGGGCTCTTGATTGTGGCGCTTGGTGGCTCTGTTGCATGTCTGCACCTGGTGACTAGAACACTTGTTGTGACGTGCGCTTGAAGAGGTAGGTAGTACGTACTGGCACTGATCAAGAGCGAGACGGCGCAGCTTGGCGACCACAATTGGTCGAAAACAAGCGTCCAGATACTGTTGGCGTGTGAAGAGTAGCGGAACAAGCTCCTCCGGCGGCAACATCGTCGGGTGATGCTTTCGAGCTGCAAACCGCCGTCCGAGGCCGTAGACACCCGCGTAGACCCCGCGGCTGTAGTGGGTGACACTGCGAGGCAAATACTCTAGCGCACGTCATAGAGCGGACGTAACAAGTCTCGTACCAACGGCGGCGAAGGCGTCGATCGGTGGTGCTGACTTGCTCCGAGCCAGTGGCGCCAGCTCTTCCTTGTAATGCAAGAAGTAGTCGTGGCTACAATTCAAAGGTGAGCAGGCAGACACAAGAGCACCAAAATACGTACGGGCGCCAAGGCTTGCGCACAATGTACGGCGCCAAGTAGCGACGCAGCGCCGTGTACTGGAGGCCAAGAAAGATCAAGTTGAGTGTTTGTCGCCAGCTTGGCCGGTGACGCACAGGATCTTGCAGGTCCAGCAGCACAGCCGTGATGGCATACCTCCACCACGCACCAGCGTTGCTCTTGACCCCGAGCGTCGGCGGGCGAAAGCGTCGATAGAGTCGTCGTCGCATGGTCAAGTCCAAACTTTCGAGCAGCTCGTTCAAGCTCTGGAGGTGTCCCAGAGGCAGTTGCATTGTCATGTGCGGAACCTCGATGCGCACTTGGAGTTGCACCTACCAACTATGTTATGACAATGCGCAGGAGATAAAGCGGCACCTCTTGCGAGATGCGCAGCTCGAGTGTAATGTTGCATGGCTCCAGAATGTACTACAAGGATGTCAAGGTACCGCGAATACGAGGGGAAATACCTGGGACGGATCGATCACGTACAGTGTGTCGGTGGGCACCTTGATGGCCGACTCAAAAATGTGGTCGCGCTGCACGTACATGCTGAGGTTCGTAAGTGCGATCGTTTTTGACAACAGCACTCGCTTTGCAGTTGCGTCATTAGGAACGTCGGGAGACCTACGCTTGCAATTGATGTACCGCTGCACAGTCGACAGGAAAAGCATACGAGGACGATGTGATGCGAGGCGGCTGCAAAACGACGCCGTCGACTTGAATGCCAAAGCTGAGACTGCTCAGAGTGTCTTCGAAGCGCAGATGGAGGCGCTCGATACTGACGAAAGCATCGCGGAAGCGGTTGAACCAGCCCAGCGACGTTTTTGAGGGTCCGTTGACGGGGACCTCGGACGTCTTCTCATCGAGAAGTCGCACGAGCCAGTCGATCTGCGATTGATGCGCGAAGTCCATGGCCTCGGTACTATCGCTGGCACGCATCACGGGGGTGCCCACGAGCAGGACAACGTCGGCCAGTTGGATCTACGTCGCGTCGTTCCGGCGTGCATGTTGGAGTCAGTGTCGTACGTGAAGCGGCTGCGACGTGAGTTCGGCTGCAAGGACGTTGGTGCGAAGGTGCCCGATGAAGACGCTCTTTGGCTCGATCGGAAGTTGGAGATCGACGATTTCATCTACACTTCGTCATGGCGTCGAGTTGCGTTCGACCGGACGTACCCATGCGCAGCTCAAAGTTGTCGATGCATATTTCGCCGCGGAGGCTAATGCGCAAGTTCTCTTGCTTGAAATCCTTGATGAAGCGCGCGGCGAGCTTTTTGATCAGCGCCGACGCAATACCTTCGAGCACCATTTTACGGCACTGCAAATGGCCTACGGGAGAGGTGTGCCGGTGCCACGATTCTGACAGGCTAAATCCACCCAACGCTAATCCCACCCAACGTTCTCTTGCGCACTGACATTGGCATTGGTCACTGCCATGCCAAGCGTACCTGCATTCCATCCACCAGGCTCACTATGTCGTCAGCAGAGCTCTCTCTTTTCGATGACTGCGATAATCAGCTCGCTCGAACAAGAACCCTGTCGAGTTCAACGATAAGGGTGCCAACGCACTGAATAGGGTGTCAACGACGAGCAAAATAACGAGCCAATGCACATGCTGTGCGCGGAGGAACTGTTGTGCAAACGCTAGTCCGATGCCGTTCGTGTCGGGTGGTCCTATTTCTCGAAACACAGAAAAACAAGGGCAAAACGGTCCCTACTCGAGAAGCCTCATTGCCCAACAGTTCAGCGGCCGGTACAATGGTGCTCGAAAGCTTCCTGGCCAAGATCGTCAACAAGTTTTGCAGCCGCTTCGTCAAAGACTTCAAGAAAGAGGTATGGGGAAGCCGCAGCACCGCATCACGATTCTATGGATAGAATTTGACGATCTCGCTCTCGGGGGACGTATGCCTCAGCGACTTTGAGCTCAATACCGATGAGATCAAGGACCTCCAGCTGCCCGTGGAGCTCAAGAGCTTTGCTGTCGGGAAGCTTCACATCAACATACCGCTCACGCACCTCTCGACTCAGTCGATCAAAGTGCGCATTCTATGCACGTAGACTTTGCTCATACTCCGACCTAGGTCGACGTCACGGACGTCTACGTGCTTCTGGGAACACCAAGCGACCCGAAATGGGACATCGACGCGCTTTACGTCTCGGAACAGTCGAAGATTTTCATTTTGCAGCTGCTCCTTGACCTCTTCTCGCCGCCGCCCGTTGCGCCTCAAGGCGGGACCCCATGTACAGCACCATTGATCGCCTTGGATAATGCATCACGTACCTGTATCGTAGCAGCGTCGTCGGTGCACATCGCACACGGCCCGCCCAAGGCTTCCAAGTCCGCGCAGATGTTTACGCCGTCGGTCGTTGCCATCTTGCGCAACGCGTCGATCGCTCTCGAGCGCGTGCACGTGCGATTTGAAGACGGACTCAGCGGCCTCTCGCTCGACACACCAACGTCGTTTGCGCTGGGCTGCACCATCAAAAGCGTCAACGTCCTCCCGTCGACGCAAACAATCGGGTCGCAGGACCACGTGAAAAGTGCCAAGCTCAACGGACTCGCGATATACTTCAAGAAGGATGCGTTGATCGAGAAGCTTCCCAAAGACGCCCAGCGCGCGGCCTTTCGAGCGCCGTTCGATGCCCCGGCACCCGTGACGAGCGGCAAGGACGACATGTACCTCTTGGAGCCTCTATCGGCTGACGTGAGCGTGCAAATGACGCTGCCCGTCGCACCCGACGGCAGTGTTCGCCCCACGCAAGTTGGCGTCAAGCTCACTGTGCCGGACGTGCGTGTCAATCTCGCCCACGCCCACTACACGTACCTCGGATCGTTCCTCGACGGCGTCGATCGCTTCGATCGCTTCACGCTCTACCGGCGCTTTAAACCCAAAGACGCTGGAAAAGGCGTCAAGAAGAACTGGCGCGACTACTGGCGGTTTGCGATCGCCGCCGTGCTCATCGACCTCAACGACCCCGTGCGTCAGCGCCCTACGTGGCGAAACACGCTCAACCTCGTGCTCGTGGGCCTTCAGTACACGGCGATTCGGCGCAAGGTGCTTCCGTACCTCATTCGACAGCCCATGGACGCGTACGCGACTCCACGACTGCGATCTGCCATGAGCGCGTCACGTAGGGATCACCATTTTCTACAGTACCGCGAGGACTTCAAGCACAACGCGCTGCACGCCCACGCACCGTACGATCAAGCGTTGTCGCTTACGATCCGTACATGGAGCGCGCAACATGACAGCCGACTCACGTGGTGTGCGTTCTAGAGAAACTCCCGGCCAGCATCACGGCGTTCGGGGATGGCATCTACGCGGGCGTCTATGGTCTCGCACGCATCGCTCCGGCAGTGGCAGCAAAGACAACGACGACGACAGTACGACTTTCGTTCGAGCATGCACCACTTACCTGCTCGTTGCTGTACAGGACGTCCGTCCCCCAGAGCCCGTGGCGCCGGCGCTGTCCTCGGCAGAAGCCGAGGCCAAGGAATTGTGGCACCGGCAGCTATGCATCGACGCAATGTTCCGACCCGTCGTAGTTGCCAAGCTCCGCGCGTTGGCCGTACGCCAGGTGGACCACAAGCAGCTGACGGCAATTGCGATCGCAAAAGATCACAACGAGCGCAAGGGTGTGCTCACCGTGACACTTGTGGACGCCACGAGCCTTTCCAAGTCCATGCATCTCTTCCCCAAGATGAAGGCACGTCCTCTGCATCTGAAGCTTCTTAGCGTATCCGGTGGTAGATTGGCCGGAAAGGAGCAGCCTACACCGGCGGCCTCGTCGCGACGGACACGGACAACGTCCTCTTCTCGCAGACATTCGAGTTTCATCTCGAGGGCACGGCGAACGAAGGCAACGTGCACATCCACCTTTTCGACAAGTGGCCCATGTTTAGCCAGTTTGTGGGCAAATTCCGACTGCCACTCGCGTCGCTCACGTCCCAGCCGTGCGTTCTCTTGGCTTGGGATGACATGTCTCATGCTCTCGCTAGACACACGGACGCTGTGTACACCATTGAGGCCGCTGATCCCAAAACCGCCGGCATCCAACTGCGTGTGCTCACCGTTTTCCACCTGGGCACGTCGAGTTCGAGCCCCGAGGCGACCTACAAGACGTCGCATGCGATGATGGAAGCCACGTGCCCCGAGCAGTACGCCATGAAGACGCACGAGTGGCACTCATGGTACGCGTTGCAGGCAGTAGCACACATGACTGCATCGACATGTGCTAGGTACACGGCGAGAGAAGCCACAACACTGCAAACGGTGACGGTGTCGGCCAACGTTGGCTCGATCAAGGTCGCCCTCGTCTTTCCCAAAGTATCGACAAAAGGGCAGCTGGACCACATCTTGCTGCAGCTTGACAAGTGGCGCTACCAACTCGTTGCATACCCCATGCAAGCGGCGATGAAGCAGAGCTTTGCCATCGCACGCGTCGACGTCTTCCATTTTGTCTCGTCCGACACTATGCACAAGCAGTTCATCCAAGGCCCCAAGGTCACAAAGAGCCCAACACTGACGCCGTTCCTGCAGCTGGAGACGAGCCACGCACCAAAGGAGCCACTGCAGATCAAGCTGCGCACCAGCGAAATGGACATCGTCCTCGACATTCCCGTCATCTTTCGCCACGTGCTGTCGATCATCGAAAAGATGCCCGAGATCACGTCCTTTATCACGCTTCTCAGTGGCCCTGTGTACACGGCCTTGACAGCGTACGCAGCGGAAGGCGCAACACCGACAGCGGCAGCAGCCACATCGGTGACGCCCACATCTTCACCGGCGTCGCCACCAGCCAAGAAGCGCAGCAACAGCATCTTCGAGAGCTTCCAGAAGATGTTTTCAGACGACGACGAGAAGCTGGCTGTGCCGCTGCCCCCAGCCCCGGCGCTTGCAGACGACAAGGACCGCAGCGCCGAGGTCAGCATGAGCGTATGTACCTGATCGATTATACTTTTGGAGCTAAAGCTCGTGACCCAGGTGGACATCGGGGCCATCTACGTGTCGATTCCCAGCGTCAACGTCAGTCTCTCGTACATGTGTGGCTGGGACTGACGGACTTTGTATAGGAGTTTAAGAAAGCGGACGCCGAACGCATTGTTGAGATCATCGTACCAGGCACAAAATTGCACATCCACGGTAGAGTATCGATGTATCGAGTGCCGCGCTACAGCATCGTTGTGCAGGCGGCCGCGGCCTCCCGACCGAAGTATCCACCAACACGCAGAGCCTCGCGACGATGACACACGACTGGGCATGGGTCCTCGGCCAGTTTGAGAAGATCGGCCTCGTGCTCTCTCAGCAGCTAAAGCACAAGACAAAACCCTTCTACACCAAGGAGATGGCGAGCAAGGCCAAGGTCCAGCGCCTTGAGTACGACATGCACGAGCTCGAGAAGCAGCTCGCACACACTCGATGTGTCATCCGCGACGTCGTCGCAGGCCCCGCCAAGTACAGCATCGACGAAGGCGACTGCGATACGCTGCGCATGATGGTGCGCGATATGCAGCCCAAGAAGGTGGCGTTGGCACCGGCGCCCACCAAGGTCCCGTACCTTGCGCTCTTGCAGCAAGGCTTGATGCTGCTCAAGCACCACGTGCACAGCGGTGAGCCCCAGTGGCGGCTCGTTTGGACCACGGAGAAGCTCCTACACGTTGCCAAGCTAGCGGATCGCAAGAAAGCCAACGGTACACTTTTGATGAAGTCAATTTCCTGACAATGTGTGTAGAGTTTCCGCTGGCGACGCTGCAGCGCGTCACGACGGGCGAGATGACGCCGGCCCTCGAGCGCAAAGGTAGTGCGAAAGACGCGGCAAAGTACGTGGCCCTCTTCTTCAAGGACGTCGACGCACCGCTGAGCTTCGAGTGCCAATCCGAAGAAGTGAGCGCGTGGGTGGCCGCCGCACTTCAGAGCCTCGTCCCGTAGCATCCTCAACTGTCGATAGACGACGAAGTAACATTCAATGCATTTTTCGTGCTGCATTCCGCCCATTCCTATGCGCATGAAGCCTCGCTACGACTGTAGTTGTATTGCCATGCTAGAGAGTCAGATATGCTCCAAAAGGTATTTGCTCGCAACGAGCTCGTTCTTGCGCAGAATAGGCTGGACGAGGACCCGTCCAGAAGTGTGCGCGTGGCAAGGGTGTGATGTACTCGAACCAACCCGAGACGGACCATTTTGCGGATGATCGGCATGAGTCTGCGGTTGGTACATAGATCTAAAACGTCCCACACGACGGAACCCAGACAAGACGGGCGATTCTAGCATCATTGACACTTGTGCACAACCAGACTACTAGTAGTTTCTACGAGAGCATTGCAAACACTTGCTGCTCGTCCGCCGAGAGGCTCGCCCACGCCGCTTGCACGGCCGGTCCCGGCACCGACGTCTACACCGCGCTAAGACATCAGTTGCGATCGCGGAGGGTGCTACTACCTGCAGCGACTGCAAGAGCAGCGCGAGTCGCTCTTCTCCTTCGTCATCGAGGACGGGCTCGGCGTCTTCGTCCATGTTGAGCGCTACATGAGCAACGTTCATAGGCTTCTAGACGTGGTTCGCTCTCTACCGAGGATGGCGGCAAACTTTTGGAGCACAACGCCGAGCTGGCTGTAGTTGTCGCCGAGCAAATCCATGTTGCGCGCCTCGACCATCGCGAGGAGGTCGGCGTGCACAACCTGGGCCTCGAGCACGTCCGACTGCAGCGGGAGGCAGTGCAGCCAGAGGCGCAAGAGCGTCGGCGCGTCCACGAGGCTTGACCGGAAGAGACAAAACTTGCCGACCGCCGAAACGCAGTTGTCGCGGGCAGCCGCCTGTTCCGTCTCGACCTGGTCGTGTTCGAGCGACTGGATACAGCTCCAGACGCGCTGGAGGGTCGCGACACAGAGCGGCTCAAAGCTGGGGCCCCCAAACTGCGCGCAGACGCCGGCGCCGTAGGCCGAGGCGCGAATCACGTTCGGGTTGCTGTCTTCCAAGCCCTACGCCCGCACCGTCCGTCTTTGCCAGTGTATGGAAAGCAAACGACGTACGCTCCAGAGGTGCGGCAAGAGCTGCGGAAGCAACTCGGGGCCGCTGTGCTCGAGCACATCGTCGATGGTGCAGATAAAGTGGGCGCGGACAGCGCCGGGAAAGGACGGATCCAGATACGGCGCGATGGACGGGAGCCACTGCTGCGAGAAGAGCGGGAGGACACCCGCCTTGTGCGTCTTGATGCACCAGCCCATGGCATCAATGAGGTTTTGCAGAATCGAATCCTACGTCGCACCATCAACATACCGGCGACGCATGGATCCTGCGCGTCTACCTCGACGTCCTCTTCGTTCTCGTCGTCTTCGTCAGCGTCGTCGGCGTCGGCGCCGCCATAGTCGCGCGCCATGCGACGCTTCACACTGGCATGCGCCGCCGTCAAGAGCTTGGAGACGACCTACGCAGCGCTAAGAAACCGCGACGTTTCGTGGACGCCGGGTACGTGAGGAAGGTCTGTGATCGGAATGCCGACGCTGTAGCCGTTGTCGCTGGCCTCCTTGCACGCTTCGAGCATGAGGGCGATGGCCTCCGTGAGACCGGCGACGCACTCCAAGTCTTTCTCTTCCTCGAGCGTCTAATCACTCGTCGTACCAATCTGTCGAGCAACATACTCGAGTTGCCTACCTGCAGCAACGGGGCAAACGCCTGCTGAAAGACCATGTGCGGGAAAGGCGACGACGGGTCCGAACCATCGACGGCGGCCGAGACGAGCTTGGCGAGCGTAAAGCCCGTGACAAGGCGCACCGACTCCATGTACTCGAAGCGCAACAAGGGCAGCAGCGCCGAGAGTACCTAGCACGATGATGATGACGTCGCCACATACAAAAACCGGCCGCCAACCTCCTTGATGTACGGCGCGAACGCGCCTTGGAGGTCCATGGCGCACTGGTAGAGCATGTTGACGCCCATGAGCTTCTCATCGAGCGACGACGTTTGGATCTGGACCTTCTTCTTGCCTTGGCCACGGACATCCACGATCACTTGCTCGATGCCGTCGCCCACATCGTCGTCGTCGTCCCCCGCGTCCGTCGTCTAGCACCAACGTTCTACTACGCGCGTCGTCTCTCTCGATCGATACCTCGTGGACGTCCTTGATGACAATGTCGGGCGGCGTCAACGCCTGCGCCAGGAGGCGCGGCACGAGCACGGGGAGGTACGGCACAAAGTCTTCTTTGAGGACGCTGCCGATGCGCACGCAGGCCTGCGAGAGGTACTGCGCCTCGACCGAGACGGCGTCTTCTTGCATGTGCAGCTCCTGGTGCTTGAGAAGCATGTCCATGATGCCGCGCGCGTCCGCCAAAAACGCGTCCTTCCCGACCGCCTGCCCGATGAGCGCGACGCTTTCCATGGCCTTGCCCCGGAGCAGAGCAAACTGCTTGCCTAGCGAGTCGTCGTCGTCAGCGTCTCTGTCAAGCGGAATTTAAACGGGTACCGTGGGCATGCAAGAGCACTTGCTTGGCCACGGGCATAAAGACGTTGTAGTAGCCAACGAAGGCGTCGCCGACGACCGTGGCAATGCACGCGACCGCCGTAATCGCTTGCTCTTGCACCTACGCTTTCTGTGCCGCTTCTGCGACGGCGAGAAAGACCAAGTACCTCGCGGGGGCACGAGCCAAGCGTCGCAAACAGCGTCGAGAGAAGCGGGTCCAAGAACGGGAGCACGTTCGTAGGCTTGCAGTGCTCGGGGTGGCAGAACGTGCAAATAACGTTCGCTGCGAGAGCGCGGTTCCGCAGAACCGTCTAGCGACACACCATCTTTGGTGGGAAGAAAAGACAGTCGTAGATACCTCGCGTTCCGAGATGGCCGGAATGAGCGCCGGGACGATGTCGGCGCCAAACTTGGCCTGAAAGTTCTTGCCGCGTTCGACGGACCCAAAGTCTTCCGTAAACTGCCCAAGACAAAAGAGCGCCGCGTACCTAGCAGGACTCGATACATTGCGAAAAACCAGGGGCCCAAGCCGCACCGAACGCGCGGGTGCGGGTCCTCGAGGCGCTGGACGACCGCCGGAAGGAGCGACGGCAGCTCCTTGTACAGCAACGTGTTGGCGCCTTGGATGAATCGTCGGCTTCGGAGGACACGTGAAGAGATAAGTACCTTCGCCCATGAGCCCCAGAGCGTACAAGGCAGCGTGACGCTTCTGCCATGCTACAGACACGTTACATGGCACCAGACATACCTCAATGAGGGACGCACCAGGGGCCTGCAGAGCCTGCGCCACCAAAGGCAGTGCAATCGGCAGCATGACCTTGCCACCGATGTCGTTGGTCAAGCGCAGGAGAGCCGACGCGCCCGTGTCACTTGTGCGGCCTTCGTCCGCGTCCGCATCCTATTGGTCCCATTGCAGCGTGACGACGGCGACGCAACGTGTTCCTACCGGCGCATCGTCAAAGGCTGCCGTCCACGCGGCAACACTGGCGTCATCGAGCTCCGTCATGAGGTCGAGAGCGCACGGCACCAAAGTTTCCAAGAGGCTCTTGGCACTGCGCCCGGCCGAGCTCTACAACGAACTCAAGACGCTTGAACACGAGAACGATGTACAAGTACCGCTTTCGTGCACAGAGACACGAGAATTTCAAGCGCAAGTTCGCGCGTCTCGGGCTCGAACGCGTGGGTGCGCGCGACCTGGAGCATCGCACTGCCAAGCACAATGAATCACGAGCTGCAAAAGCTAAAAGCACGTACCTGCCAAGGGACTCGATGTGCAGCTGCAAGAACGCAGGGTGCGCTTCGCTGAGGACGAGGACGGCCGAGAGAACTTCGCGCGCGAGGAGCTCGTCGCCGCCGTGCAGAAGCGCTTCGACAACCTAGACAACGGTCGCGCATGTCTCGTTGGGTTCCGAGGCGTACGTGGAGGAGCGGGCCCAAGAGCTGCGTGAACGGCTGCATGGCCTGCGTGCTTTCGAGCACAACGATGTACGCAACCATGGCTTTGGCTGCAGCGACGCGCAAGTCCAAGCGGGCGTCTACATCAATTTCGCAGCGTCATTGCAGAGATCGACGTCAAGATGGACGCACGGCCGAGGAACGTCGAGAAGAGGTGGAAAAACTGCTCGTGGTGCAAAGCAAGCGTCGGGCCGAGGTACTCGCAGAGCGTCGCCAGCACTTCAAGCGACGTGATTTGCATGGCCTACGGGACGATAGACAGTGAAATCCAAGTTACAACTGCGATCGCATCGTACGACATCCGAGTGCTGCGTCAGTGCAACGATCGCCGGCAAGAGCTCGGGCCACGTCGCCTCAAGGCGCGCGAGTTCAGCAATCGCATGACCAAGCTTGCGGCGAACGTGCGCGAGCGGCTCGGCGCCAAGAGCGGCCACGAGCTGCGTCTTGAGCGCAGCGCGGTACTGGAGCTCGAGGTGCGAGACGCCTTCGGTCTCGAGTACGCGCCGGAGGAGGACTGGCGCGAAGCTGCGCGTCGTGGCGTCGCTTGGGTTGCTCTGCACGCACGAGAGCGAAAGCAGTGTGCTCGTGAGCTGGACGGGCTGCTCGACCTTGAGCAGCGTGTACGCGGCCTCGGCCTCGCGCGTACTTCGCGATTCCTCGGGCTTCAGGGTCGTAGTCCCCTCGAGATCCATTTTCTACAGACAAATGAATAGATAACGCACTGTGAAGTCGCGCATATCGTACCTTGATTGCCAAA